AGCACCGGACCCATCACACACCCACACGTGGACCCCCATCCAGCACCAGCACCCATCACACCCCCCTGCCACCTGGTAGGGGGAGCGTCCTTCCACACTACCCCTACCGGGTGGCAGGAGCCCAGCAGGCAGTGCAGAGGCACGGACAAGGGTGGAGGGGGTGGGTGGCTTGAGCCACCTGGAGTCCTGTCCTGAGTGCGCCAGGCTGCTGCCCACGTCCTTCTGGAGAGGAAAGGAGGCGCCGGCCACCCTCCCCCAGCTCCTCGGCGAGGCTGCATCTGGTCCAGGGCCAGCGACCCTTTTGCTGGTTTCGGTTCCTCCTTTATCCATTCATAAACGTTGAACAAAAGCGCTCTTTTCCCCACTGTATCTCCAGACGTTAAGGTCAACATCAATATTTGAGAACTGTCAGTACAGCATTTTACCCACTAGCTTTCCCAAGTGTGGATGGGAAGGCATGCGTGGCCCTTGCGGGGCTGTTTCTAGTGAACACAGTTGAGGGTGGGCTTGGGGATTCCCTGAGAGGGGGAGTGTGAGGGCAGCCGGTAGGCCGCTGTGCCCTGGTCTCTGTCCCGCTGTGTGGCTCGGAGGGAGTGCGCTGTCGGGTTTGGGTTGAAACACCATCCCCAGCATCTTTGGGGGACACTGCCACTGCCTGTGACTCCTGCTGTCGTGTCTGGAAAGGGGAGGCTTCGGAGTGAGTGGCCCATGGCCTTCCCGTTGCAGGAGCTGGTGTGGGAAGGGGCAACCCCGTGGCTCTGGGCTGGAGCCCTGTAACGATGGGACATTTCAGTGCCCTTGGAGACATTTCCCTGGAGCGGGTGCGGTCGGTCCCAGGGGCTTGTGAACTGCTCTGTGCTGCTGCTGGGCTGCACTGACAGCACGCACAAACCCAGCAGCAAGTGGCGTGGCCGCGGGAGACGCCCTGGAAACCGGCAGGGTGGGCAGCTCTGCTGTCCCAGGACTGGGCCAGGACTGCTCGTGGTCCTCGGCCAGGTGCCACCCACTCTGCAAGGAGCCCAAAGGGCTCTCCCAGGCCTGCGGGCTAGTGCCAGACCCCACATCCCTGAGCCACTCCCAGGCAGGGGCACAGCACTAGGTGAGGTCAGAGGTGTCCCAGGCATGTGGCCTGCAGGGGTTTGTCCAAAACAAATTCTATCCTGGACCCTGAAGGGAAATAGAGGCCAGGCTGTTTCTTACACTTTCCAACACTGGAAGGCACAGGACTTCTCAGGGAATCTTGGTTTCCAGCTTTTCCGAAAGCACCTGACGGGCGGGCATGCACCCCTCTCAGGTGAGCCCCCAGCCCCTCAGGCGCCGAGCCATGACCTTCTCCCAAGGACAGGGCCAGGATACTGCCACCACCGGGAGCCGTGTCTTCAGCCGACAGCAGGAGCTGCACCTGCACTTGGCACCTGTGAACTCTGGCATCTCCCTTTGTCCTCCCAGGCACTTAGCATCTTCCGGGGCTGCTGCCTCTGG